CAGACGACGCTGTTGGCGAACTCCCCGAGCAGATAGCACACCAGATTGAAGCCCACCAGCAGGGCCAGAAACAGGTAGCGCAGGTATACGGGCAGCACTTCCAGAATGGGATACACCCACTCTCCGCTAAAGTATCGAACAATGTGCAGCCAGATGATATAGAGCAGGATGAAGGAGACGTTGCCCGTGATGCCGGCCAGTCGACTTGGATAGCGGCGGAAGCAGGTAAACAGGTCCATGATGGCCAAAAGGGCCACATTCGTGTGCACGACGTGATTTAGCCAGCTGTAAAAGGTGGGAAATACAGGTAAACTAAGAGTGTATCGTATAGAGATAGTTTTAAATGAACCCCCAAACATAAGAATCTCTACACAGACAGAAGATGTATGATATTACATATAGCAAAGTATAATGTAAGACCATTTCAATGATATATTTCCAAAAGTTGGAAGAGGTTCCCGGGATTATATGGGGACCGTATTATATGTCTCAAAGTAATAAGAAAATCGTCATATCAATTAATATTGATCTTTACTTCTTTCTGTGCAGCTATGGAGTTTTTCACCTTGCCACGTAGGCGGAGAACCCGAAAAACCTTTGCACTTGCCTGGGGAAAATCGCATCCAGCGCCGAGGGAAAGATGAGCTCACGGTCCCAGATGTAAATGACCCAGAACGAGAGGCACACGTTGTGGGCGACGGGGAAGGCAAAGGCCGCGAACACGTAGTCCCTCGCCGATCTCAGCCTGGACTTTGAGTCCCCGGAGACCTTGTTATCGCCGAAGAGGTCGTTCAGAAGGGCCAGCGAGTGGTAAATGGCTTGCAGAATGACGTCCAGGAAGGTGAGGTACTTGAACTTGCCGCCCCAGCGGGCCTTTAGCTCATCCTCGTCCAGCAAGTCCGTGGGCCAGTGCACCTTGAAGTAGTGGTAGTATATCCCATACGAGAACTGAGCCGCCGCCAGAAGGTGGACCAGGAATCTCAGGTACTGGAAGGCTCCGCTCGTGTAGGCATCGTTGCAGGTGTCCAGCCGGGCGTTTGTGGCTTCCACAGCCTCCTTGGCGGCATTGAACTCGCGCACCTGCTTCTTGCTCTTACCCATTTTCGCCGGATAATGGATAATGAGCCGGGGAATCCAACGTACGCCGAGCAAATCAAAACAAATATAAGCTAGCGAACAGCTGATTGGGGCGCTGCACACGACGAAATCAGCGCCAGCTTAGTAGCCATTTTCAAGCCAAAACTAGCCTTTTTTTAAGTCAAAAGTGATTTACAAGTTTTCCAGTAATTCAAACTACTAACATGAAGAAAACCAAAAATCATATTAAAAAAGAAAATTAGGTAAAGAAACTTGAATTTTACAAAACTTGTTAGGGAAAACTAGCGATTTCTGGCGATTTTTTACTACAAGTTAACAGCGCCTCTATGCTTGAAAAGCCCCGCCATTTAAAATCAATTTTCGCAGTAATCAAAGATTTAAATCGGTTTATTACGATACTAGAATTGAATTACTGTTTGTAACGCTGGTATTCAAAAATGGTGTTGGTTTGGAGTGCCTTGATATGAGGTTGTTGCAATCGAGAAGGCGACTTTACTTTTTAAAAACCGAAATAACACTACGGCTATAATCTCAATTACAATGCAATTCGTAATAAGAATAGAATGAATATCATTAGCAAACGGTTCTATTACGATTAAGGACTTTCACAATTCATTAGGGATTTAAAATATATTAGCGAGTTTGTCAGGCAAGTTCAAGTTTATTTATTTTCACATATCTTGTGCGACTTCTTCAGTCTATTTCACAGTGTACCACTATCCTGGGCTGAGAAGATCGAACACTATAGACAAAATAAATAATCGAGACTGCTCTGAGTCGTCAATCATTATTTGTATTTTGTGGCTAATTAAACGCGACTACATGGAACAGAAACGAGACACAGCCTACTCCTAGTTGGATTTGCGCTTGGCCAGCTTCACCTCCTTGGCCCAGACGGTGTTGTTGAGGAACTCGCCCAGCAGATAGAGCGACAACGTGAATCCCACGACGGCCGCGAAGAACAGGATGCGCTGCGGAAGTTGAAGGACCTCCAGGACCGGGTAAACCCAGACGCCTGAGTAGTGCTTCACCACGTGAATCCAAACCAGATATGAGCCCATGAAGATGGCCAGTCCGGCGAGTCCCTGGCTGCGTTTCGGGTACGAGCGGTACGAGATGAACATTTCCAGGACGATGAAAACCACGATGTTGGTGTGCAGGACATGGTTAAGCCAGCTGTAAAAGGCAATGAATGGATTACAAGTATGTCAAAAGAAATATATAGTGACATGGAGGCCTTATAGACTTGTGCTTTCTTTTTTAACCTACCCCACAAAGCTTTTTTCTTTATACTACTATTAATAACTTTTAAGGAGACTATAAATTTGCATTAAGTATTCCCACCACGTGATTTGCCATAACAAGCAATGTATGTACGTGAATAAAAAATTTAATTAGACTTAAGTGCAAGTCAAACCCCTAACATTTTAATGTAAAAAATAAACTGAGAAAGTAGATAATGGGGTCTTGAGACTGACATTTTAATAAGTTCAATGCTGATCCAGCTTTTCGTCAAAAGCAAGAAAAGAATCTTAGGCCAAACTCGAGATAAAAAAGGCATTGCTAATGTTTAAAATGTGACTCCGGGGTGTAAACAAAAATACGTTAATAACGTAAACAATCATTTTTGATGTTCTCAATTGTTCTTGTTCAACTGAAATTTGATAAGCCTGGAATCCTAATCCGATAATGATTCACATGACTTCAAGTATGGGCTAAGGAACGTAGGTATGTTATTCCACTGGTTTTGAAATCTCACCTGGGGAACACGGGGTCCAGCACCTTGGGGAAGACCAGCTCTCTATCGATGGCGTACAGGGTCCAGAAGGTCACGCCCACGTTGACGGCCACTGGAAAGGCCAATGTGGCCATCAGCCAGTCCTTGAACCTGCGCACCGCCGGAGGTTTCTTGGGGGTCAGCTCATTGGTGCCCACAAAATCGTTGACGAGCGATACAATATAGTACAGTGCCTGAATTATCTGTAAGTGGTAGAACATTTGACGTGTGTGAGATAATGCGGCTAGATTTGAAGGGTTGCTTAAGTGGAGTGGAAGGAATTACAGCTGACGAAAAAATTTTTACTAAGCATTTCCTGTAAAATTTGAGTGACAATAGGGATTTTGGAAATATGTTGTGTGTTTATGTGGTTTAAATGCAAATCGGTTTTGGAAAATGAAATTACGAAATTAGTAACATTAAATAAGTATTAATTAAATATAAACTTTTTAGTTTACTAACAATATGCCATTATTTTCATTAAAATTTAGCAGTTTTTAAGATTTTATAAAATTAGTTTTATGAAAATCAACTTTGGGGATGCTTTATAGAAGCTATAGGAATATATTCTAGATGAGGCATAGAATGGATGCATTTTCTCTGTGTAGCTTAATGGATGCGTGTGAACCAGTTAGGCAATCCAACCGTGCCAAGAAACAAACCGAGTGAACTTTAAACCGCGCTCTGAGTTCGTGTATCTAATGGGAGATGGAGATTACCGCATCCAAGAACGTTAGATATTTGAATTTTCCCCCCCAGGGGTGATGGATCCGCATCTCCGGCTCGGTGGTGGGGAACTCGACGTAGGAGTAGTCGTAATAGATGCCATAGCAGAACTGCACGGCCGCTGTCAGGTGGAGCAGGGTCCTCAGGGCGCCGTAGACGCCCTGGTACAGGGAGCTTCCTCGCACCGATGCCATTTTCCTGCTGCAGCTGCTCTGCTTCTCTGCTCACGATTGATTTTCCACGGCACCAAAACACAAACAAACCGGTCTGGTCCGTCGCTCTGGAAATACTACTGCTTGCAACCACCCCCAAAAGGGGCCGAGCGGAGAATCAGTGTGCCCGAGCCGGAGCCGTGCCAGAATACCAGGTGTGCAGATACTTTTATCTTTCCCTGGGCTTGTTGGGGTATGCCGGACCCGATGCAAACTTTGCACCAGTACCGAAAGCCATGTGTTGATATATCTTTTTGGACCGATGCCTGTTTTGGGACTTCATCAGTTTATTTTAGATTTCATTTTATTAGATTTTGTTTTTAAAAAATTAAATCTCAATGGCGAAAAGGTTTTAATTGATTCTCTTTTACTTTAAAATCAGAAATTATTCTCTTTGTTCCTTTCCCAAATTTAAAGTTTATTGTCTTCAAACATATTTTTTAAGGCAATCCTGTATTATGATGATGAGATTTATTTTTAAGAGTAACTCTATTATATGATTTTTAAGAGAAACCATATAAGGAATGTATATTCTTTAAAACTCCCAGGACAAACACGAATTTAAAATTAAAATTTAATTATCTTTTTTTTTTTGTTAAAAAAAAAGCCGCTTTTAAAAACCAACCGTCACGATGTGACATAAACCAAATCATTAAGATTGTTATTGCCTTTTAGCGTACAATACCAAATCTGGTGCTTCCATGCAGGATCTACACAACAATTTTCCGACGTCCGTGCTATCTTTATGGACTACAAGTGATTAGATTCGTGTGTTTGTATGTGATCGAACTAGAAAATCGGGTGATATAAATCCCTTTATCACTTCGTTTTACCGGTGTTTATATTTCCTACATATACTTATCGGCTTACCGCACAAATAAAAGTTAGAAACTTGAATTTTCCGGCGAAGGGCACCGTGTTGGGCATGTCGAGTGTGTAGAAAATGTACACGCCATAGTTGAACTGCAACACGGCGGTTAAATGGAGGAGAAGTTGCACCGCCTTGTTGAAACCCGGCGATGTGGAACCTTTGCTCTTCGATTTTGTCTTGGGCTTGGCCATGCTGAACCTACTGGTGCCAGATATGTACTGATTATAGTATAGCCAGAGTCCAGTCACTAGTAGCAATTGCCTATGAATGTGCGTTTGCATACAGTGATCACCCACTAATTGAGCTTTCATTTTGATTTACAGATGCTTATACTTAGTTCCTAAAATCTATTGTAAAAAATTTATTTTCATTTCAAAACCAAGTAATCATCACTTGTATAGTTATAATTTAGGGGTTCTTAGCAGACAATCCCTTAAATTTATTATATAATTTGAATCGCTATTCCTTTAAAAAATGTAATTTAAGTGCTCCCTGTATGTATTTCCCTTTCGCTTTGAAACTGATAAGGTGCGCTTATCTGCCGCACTCTCAATCGCCGTGGTACAAAGTATTTCCACTCGAGAATGAATTGACAGAAGCTAAAATAAAATCTGAAAACGGGCGCTTAATCCGCATCGGAACTGGTCACCATGCCCCCATCCCATATCTATGTTTATCCCATAACAAACTAGGGGGAGGCACGCGTCTTTTCAAGAGCGTTCTATGAATAGATGTGGATACACATAAACCATATTTATGAGCCGAGACAAAGGCTTCTCGAAATATGTTCGCAGCTAATGGCAACTATCGATTTGGATTCCCGGCCCCCCGCAACCACCCCCTCTGAAGGTCAAGGAGCAAGGCCATCGCTACAAAAGGCGACGTCATTTAAGCCCCGCTAACTGAATTATCTGGTATCATTATCAGGTGCTCTTTTGTTTCTTTGTGCTTTCGTTACACGCTACTTATCGATTGTGCGTTAGTAATTGATTTGCGGCAATGTGACATCCAAAAATAATCCATCGGTATCCGCCTCCAACTTATTAATGGATCAAACTCTTGGTAAACTCATTACACCATATGGCACAAATATCATATCCGTTAATGAATAATTATTTAATTGGCAGTTTAGAATTCCGAATTCTGGGAAGCACGTAAGATAAAATGATTTATAAATTTTGTATGGCTTTGTTGAGCATATTTAATAGAAGAGGATCATAAGACATTTTCTTATAAAATATAATACCATTAGATAGTCTCCTCGTCGGTTTCCGCTCCGCAGACCTCCAAGTTGATTTCCGTAAGCTCCTGTTCATCCACCACACTGCCTGCGTCCAGATCACCCGTCTCTATTCGAGGGACACCCAACACATCTTCCTGTTCCTGCGACTCCTTGGCAGCCACTTCAATGGCTGCTCCCTGCTCGAACATGGGATTGTCGAAAGCCCGCTCCCGCACTTCTCCACTTTCAGGATCGTAAGCCATTATTCCCAGACGATCCACACCAGAAGCACCTCCTTCACTGGAGCCACCACCTGCTCCCCCGTTTTCAAAGCGATTGAACAGCAGATTGCGGCGCAGCCTCACACCCAAGTGGTGCCACCTCCAGCGCCGGGGATCGTGGATCCATTGGGGTATCCGATTCAGGTAGGGATTCTCCGGCATAAAGTGCGCCAAAATGACCACGGAAACCAGTCCCACCAGGGCCATGCAGAAGAGGATCAAAACAATAGAGGAGAAGCTCACGTTCGGATTGTAGGGTCGACCAGAAACCTTCAGCGTAGTGCCAGTTCTATTCCAGTAATCGAGCTGCGGTTGCAAGAATTCCATGCTCCGTTCGCTATACTTAAGCCGATCAGTGAGTACAGCCTGCAGGAAGTTTCCAAACTGTTGGGAGCCCACAAACTCCACATGGAGCTGGATCTGATCCTTCAGATTCTTCTGGTCGATGAGCTTATTTAATTTGGTTATGAACTCCTTTTTACTGCCCTCAGTGCAGTGACTCGTGGGTGTGGATAGAATGGCCCCGCAGATGAGGCAACAGGATCCCAAGGGTCGAACTGGTGACAGACAGTGGGGCGTCTCGCACTGCTCCTGAACATTGTGGCACACCGGCTCCAGCAATCGCTCAAAATCCTTGTGGCAGCCACAGAGCTCTCCTCTATAGTACTCCACCTGGACGTCCTCGGCATTGTGAAAGAGAAATTGCCCCAAATCTCGGGGGATCAGTTCCTCCAAATATGATTTGGAAATGGAAGAGCCAGCCAATATTAGTTGTCCCAGTCTCAGGTGCTGGACATTTTCGAGGTCGAAGGCAAGTGGGCCGTTGCCCTTGATTATAACCTGCTCGTCATCGCAGGGAATCCTCTCAAGCTCTGGCGTGGATGTGGAGAACTTCTTCTTAGACTTGTCTGTCCAAGTGCCAGGATCGAACCATTTACTCGATTTGGGTGTCTTTAAGAAGGCTTTCTTTTCCTCACTCTCGCAGGCGGAGTTCCTGTTGGAACCAAAGGTAATGGTTGATTCCTCGGCCAAGAGAATCGCCCCCTCTTTTGGAAACACCAAACCATCAATAGATAAATCCTCAGGCAAGGGCAACAAGGCTGGATAATATTCCGGAAAGACGACCAAGTCCTGGGCACATGGCACGTGGTCATCTATCCAGGCGGAGGGATGGTTAAAGTCCAGTCCACCGCCGTACCACTTGGTGGCTTTTGCCACTTGGAGCCAGATGATTAGCCAGATCAGCCACTGCAGCCACATCATGCGAACGGAGTGAGTTCCAAACTGAAATTGTAGTTTGTCGGAGAATTTCACTCGTTGCAGATGCCTCATATTTGGGGGCGTTTTATTTCACCGTCGCTTCGCCATCTGCAGCCACCCAATAAATTCTGGATAACAATCAATGTTAAGACCTTTCAACGAGAGCAAATAAACCAGGGAAATGGGACAGCAGATGTAAACAAAATCACAGGCAGATGGGAACAATGAATACTCTATAAGAATAAATGGTTATTATTCACTATTAATCAAAATATCAAAGGGTTCGCGGGATCCCACGACTTTGGGGAATTTTACGCATTCCCACAAATTTTGTCTGGCCCGGAATAACAATCACTGCATACTTTCGATCACTTAATAAGTGATATTAAATCACTGTACACTTTCAAGTACAAATATGTTAAAAGATATGCAAATAATTGCTAAATAGTCTGAGAACTTTAGGAATAATATATTTCCGACTTTTTAAAACCCGTAAAAGATTGTCGGCTATCAAAACTTAAGGATCGCACGCTCCATAAATCTTGCTCTAAAAATATTTCCCCAATAAATCGTTCAAAATCGAACAGATTGAACGGTGTCCAGACAACAAACATATGTAGTGTCTATACTATAGATACTATATAGATTTGGCCTAGAACATACCCACATTATTTCTCTTTTGCTTCAGCAATGCAATTGTTTGTCGGAAAATAGTTGAAGTTTATTTTTTATTTTGATTGCGCAGATATAAACAATTTTCCGCCCATCCCATGCTTCACGGAAGCCATAGGAATGCCCAGAAGAAAGGCAGAAAACAAATCGGCAACAAAAATAATTAAACCGGATGGTAATGGCATCGAAAAATACTCGTGCTTGTATCGAGGGACTACATAAAAGCAGTTTCCAACTAAGAAAAGCCAGCGAGTGGAGATCTGTAGATATAAAGCACTTTATGCTTCCCAGATCAAAGTACTTGTGGGAGGGGCGGGCGGCATTAATCAAGGGCACGCAAGGTCGTGCAATAATAAAATAAAAACATTCACTGAAAAATCCGCACGGAAATTGTAACTTTAAGCCACATGAATTATGGTCAAAAAGGGTGGGGTGGATTTAATACAACGAAAAATGTAATACAAATAAAAAATAGTCAAGAAATAATTTTAAAATAAAATCTGAAGTAGGACAAAAGAAATTGCATTAAATGCACTCAAAACCCAAAAAAACATTTTCTTTGTGGGTCATATCAGTAATTTAAAATATTAATTAAATTGTTTGTCTTAAACGGCCTTTATATTTTTATTTATCGACTCTTGGTTATTTTCTTTGTTTCTGCGAGATTTTTTGACAGTTTTAAATGTTGCCCAGTTCTGACCAAGAAAATCTATAAGCAGTAAAGGTCTTGTATTCCAACTAATTTACTTCCAAATTAAGAACCTGAATTCGAATAATTAGTTTCTAGGAATTTTCCTTTCAGTCAAAATAAAATTTTCCCAGAGTATGGCCGAACCTCAAGACATATTTATTTACCTATCCGAAAATGAAATTCGCCTGTCGACAATGACAACCACTTTGAGATATTTGCTTGTGTTTTCCTTTGTGGCCAAGTAGCTGCGAGAAAAATGCAACACCATCGATTTTCTAAGCTATTTTAACGATATGTAAATGAGGCATCGGAAAGCACCGAATACCAAATCGAAGCCAACTGCCGCGTATGGCACATTTACATTGCCGCCCATCAGATAATCTGGCATTCGTCAGTTCCATAAATTCTGCGCCCGCAGAGGGCAACAAGAATCGAAGCCGAAAATCTGGAAAGGCGCGAACATCTGAGCAAATAAATACGAAAAGAAAAGCCGAAAACGATTGCATTTTTGCATGCAAAGTATGTGCAGCAGCAGTTTGGATGAGGAAATTCGGCAGGCGCAGCAGCTCTCGTATCTTCCAGATACTCCTCCGTATTCCGTATTCCACAGTTATTGACCCCGCCGGCCGATAAAAAAAAGCATGGGAGTATGGAAAACACCGGGGAGGGGCGATCCCCAACGAGCAGACAAACAAATAAACAAACATATGGCAGACATAAATGCGAACAGCGGCATGCGGGCGTAATAATAAGAATAATTTTTCCTTTCGCTGATTTTTCTGGTCCCGACACTTGAAACATCCAGAGGCTGGCCGCATTTCCGTCTTGTTTTTTAATTTCCCATAATTTATCACATATCTTAAGTAGATGGTTTCAATAGAGGCATTACAATAAATACACTCACCAGCGACCAATAGGACAGGAGTTTGATTTTCTGGGGCAGCGATTCCGGCACCAGGCGGCGATTGAGGCTCGTCTTCAGCTTGTAGCTCCGCTGGATCTCGAAGGAGCTGTAGTAGAGCCCATAGGCGAATTGGCCCAGGGCACAAAGATGTATGATTGTCACAAAGACGCGCGACTTGTAGAGCTCAACTTTGGTCATCTTGAAGGTTTTTCACGGTTCCTACACGAAAAAAAGCCAAGGGGAACTAAGAGTTACATAGTCAAAAATATTACAACTGTTTTTCGTCAAAACTGCGTTTTTAAAGCATTCGAATTTCATGGCTTTTCAATACATATCCTAAAGTATGTCCCTTTGCACAATTTTTACAGATTAAAAAAAATAAACGAAAAATGTGTTTTGGATTAAATACAATAGTACTTGTGTGCTTAAATAATTCTTTTAAATTTTTCAAAATAATGTTTACAATTTTTTTTAATAGTATCCATTGATTTTAAAAAATCTAATTTAATTTCAGATCTTTTATATTTTTCCTCTGTGCTGTTCGGTGTTTCACTAATAAGGGCACAAGAAAACGTCGCCAAGGTGTTTGGGCCCTTGAGTCAAGACACCTCGCGTTCGTCAGCCCAAAGCGCGCACAAATTTAAATCAATATTTGCGTCACCGACATAAATATTTAAGCTCCCAAAAACTTTGGCGGAATTCCTCGAAAAAAATCTAGAACACCTCGACTACACCAGAAGAAGTTCCCCGTGGCTCTTGTTTATAAATCGGTTATGTTCATAATTTGATGGTTTTTATGGCCCTTAAAAACAATTGTTGATTGTTTCTCATTGGATTTCCACACTCTAAACAAATCACCAGGTCTTGGCACACGCACGCTAAGTATTTTCCTGATTTCAATTTGGCTTTCCTCGGGGAAATGCTCGGCTGCGATTTTCCCTTGACCGCGGGCACAACTGAGCGTGTGGAAAACTGGAGTCGCACTGTTTGTTGCCCATACGCCGTGTTGCCTCCTGCCTTTTGTGCTCGTTTTCATTGTACTTGTGCTGTTGCTTCTGTTTCTGCCTCGGTTCCTCGGTTTTGTGGTGTCGTTCCTCCGTTTGCTCGCCTCAGGTGCGTGCTGCGCATGTCCGGCGCGGACTGCGGACCCGGACTCCGGTTTTCGCATTCCGGATTCGGGAGTGTGGGCTCCGGTTTTATGCGTTAATGATGGCCAATCACCTGAATGAATTCTCCACCCACTCTGCAGCTCATTGAGATGTATGCTCTTAAGTGAGTAACCAGATTAGTGGGACAAATGCAGTAATGGCTAAGCAGATAACTTTGCGGAGCGATGATTATCTGGTTTTATTTTTAGGAAAACGACTGGAATTGCGTCAAAGAAATAGATAAGAAGGTTTAAAAATAAAAAGGCAAAAAGTTTGTTTGAACACATGTAGAATGTAGGCGCGTCAAGTTATATCGATGTGAAGCTACCTTAAAAATTGCACACTCGATTTTAAGAGTTATTAAAGGTATTCATTTGGCGACCGAAATGAAAAAATGAAATATCTTTCACTTTAAGCGGACGTTACTTTAAACAGTAACTTCAAGACTTAAGTTTTAAATTAATTTTTCCCGGGCTATGATCCAAAGTGGTTTATATTTACGAGATATAGTTTTAAAGTCTTCTTGAAAATGTGAATGCTATGATTAGTGATCAAGTGAATATCTTACCCATTCAAATATGTTTTTGAAAATCGATTTTTCCGGCCCGCCACGTCCAAAAGGTAAAAGATTACTTCCGTAATCTGGCCACTCTCGTCCCAAGTTGCTAGTGTTTTTCATTCAAATTTAAGTCATGTCGTAACCCGAAACGCCTCTGAATCCACACAACCCGACACCCAAATTCCCAGTGCAGGCATTTCCGGAAAACTCCAGCTTCAGATCAGCACGCAGACATGTCGACCGCCTCGAGGATCACTTTGGGCATGGCGGTCTCTGTTTCCACGGCGATCATAGGTTATGTGCATTATAAACAGTCGGCAGACCGGTAAGTGAGCTTTTGATATGCCCAATCAAATTTATAGTCTGCATACTTCACCTTGCAGTCTGAGACTCCACGACGGCGTCTTGAGGGATGTGGAGCAGCAGCAGCGCCGGAAGCATGAGAACACCTACACGCTGCAGCAGCAAATAGACATGACCAAGCAACTAAGGGCCAGGGAGGCATCCAGCAACTCCTCCGACACGCCCGTACCTCCAGCGAACACCCCCTCGCAGAGGAACCTTCAAGCGGGGACAGAGGCGAAAGACACGCCCACACCGAGTGCCCAGGAACCCGAGCTCCAGCAGCATCCGGAGCAACCAGGTGCCGAGGAAGCCGGAGATGCCAAGCCGGCTGAAGCGGCCACTCAGGATGCTCCCAGCCCTCCATCAGACGTAGCTTGATTACCGAAATGCCTTCCATTGTGCACTAAATACTAGAGAAACTCGGGTTAAATGAAGACATTGGTTGCTAAAAAGTAGACACAAATTGATTACCTTTTATTTAACCGGCTGTCAGATCTTATTGTTAACTGATGGCATTTTAAACTTGAGTACCTTTGTTGATCACTGCCGGTAGGTGAACCCTTCTGTTAATAGAGGTATCCTAAATATAAGAAGTAGCTTATTAGAGTACCTTAAGATATATAATCCTCTAAGATCGGATAATAAATAGCAATTTATACTTATAATGGAGAAGGTTTTTGTCAAGGGCGTAGTGCTCACCAATCCTACCGAATACGGCTTCCAACTTTCTTTTCTGTATACATTTAGTATTACTCAATTTTATTATTACGAATGTGTGTATAGTAAATTACAATTCTAATGGGCGTTCGGTAAAGTATTTCGCGGGGGGTTTGTACATAGGTGGTGGTGGAACACCCCATCATCCTTTCCCTTTCTCCTTCTCATCATCATCTCATTTCATTTCGTCTCGTCTCTTCTTCAAAGTGATATAAAAAAACGTGGAAAACTAACGCAGAGAATAAAATACACGATACTTGGCGTTGTTGCTTGTCCGTTGCTTTCTCTCTCAATTGCCACCGTATTGAAAAAATGTCCAGAATAGTTAATACCGTCCACCGCCGCCACCTCCACCGCCGCCGCCTCCTCCGCCACCACCTTTGCGGCGGTCGCGATCGTTGCCGCGATCATTGCCGCCACGCATGTTGTCCCGCTCGTTGTTCAAGTAGTTGCCTCCGCCGACGCCGTCGCCACGGCCACCACCCCGTCGTCCCGGGGAGCGGGACCGGCTGCGGGAGCCGCGACGGCGACTGCCGGGCGAGCGGGAACGGGAGCGGGCACGGCGGCGGCGTGAGTAGAGGTACCTCCGCAGCTCCCGCGAGATGGGCTTCAAGTGCATGAAGTTGCAGAAGCCGGAGCGGGTGCACTCGCCCATCTCGTACTGCCGACAGCAGGCCTCGCGGAAGTCGGTGACCGGCGACAGTTCCGAGTAGACCGGCCGACCGCCGAACCACCGGTTGTTCAAATCATTTGCCGCCTTCTCCGCGTCCGCCTCGTTGCGGAATTTGATGTAGACATTGCCGACCAGGTGGTCGCCCAGGTTGTCGCACACATTCATCTCCTCGATCTCGCCGTACTTGTCCTCGCACTCGACGAACACGTCCTCGAAGAAGTTGTCGTAGTGCTCCTGCATCTCCTCGTCAGAGACATTGGCCACCAGATGGGAGCCGTCCGCGGATTTGGCCGAGTTCTGCGGGTTCACGTACAGATTCTGGAGCAGCACCGTCTGCGAGAAGGTGGGCTTGTTGTGGATTCGCGAGCACCGGTCGCCGTGGCGGCAGGCGCCTATCTTGAAGTAGAACGAGCAGTTCACCCTGTGGATTGGAATGTCGAATGGAATTCGGTTAATTATTGGCCCCGGGAAAATATGTGTGCCATGCGACTCCGCTTACTTGTCCTTTTCCGTGCCAAAAATGGATGCCAAGTACTCGGCCATGTTGGCGGCTCTGCTGTCTCGTTGCTGCGGCCAAAATGTGTAACTTCGCTGCCCGCTTGCCTCTGCGACGCGTTCGAACTGCAATTAGTTGCGGCGCCTGTGTATTTTCTGCCTATTTTCAATTATTTTCGGATGCCGCACGTAGAAAAGCAGCGTCTGGTCGTGTTTTGCACGGCGTTGCCAGCCTCGAATCTAGAGTTGCAACAAAAATCGATGTTTAGTCGATACTGGCAACCGATGTTTTTTGCGCAACTATCGATTGTTTTCACTTGAAAAGGGTGAATTTTAAGGAATTGACATTTTTATAAGCTCAGGACCTTATGCTCAGAACGGAAAGTAATTAATTCAATTTTTATAAATAAAATAAATTAAAAAACATAAATTAGCACTAACTGTACAGAAATCTCTTGAGGCCTAGAGCCTCTTCTCTTTTAGCAAAAAACATATTCAAGTTGTATAAATTCAATATTTAAAAACTTGTTCTAATTGTAATAAATGAATATTCAACAAATATTGTATTTTATAACAAAGAAACCGTTAAACTGTTCGCCGGTGTGTGTCCTCACTTTCATCCAAGTTCTCAACCGCGCTAAGAAGACTCCGATTTTAATAGCATTTTTTTACATGCGCATTTCGGGGATTTACACACCTTGAAAATTTTACGTGCGCTTTTTGGGGATTTACGTTGAAATGTATAAAAGCAAGCAAAAAGTAGAAAACGCCTCGGTGGCCAGATTTGTCCCTACTATCTTGCATCTCCCTTTTTTACTGACACTTACGTTGGCTTACGTTTTGTTGACACTTACGTTCGCATCTTCCATCTCCCTTTTTTACTGACACTTACGTTTTGCCGACTTACGAAAATATCTCAGAAAATCACTGCAAGCGAAATATCGAAGTTATCGAATAATAATAATAATAATAATGACAACTCTGGTGACTTGCTTCTAGAAAAGTCGGCATTTTTCGCATTTTCACACGGCACATTTTGCAGCGAGTTTCATTTAAAAACTCTTCAATAAAAAAAAAGGAAAAAGGACAGCAAGTAGCCAGCGTCATCCGCTCCGCCAGCAGAAATGGACAAGGTGCGTGGGCGGGACAAAGGAGAGGCGTGGTGATCTAAAATGCTTGCGGTTCTTGTTCTTGCAGGTGAACGAACTCAAGGAAAGGGGCAACCAGGCGCTAAACGCCGAGAAATTCGACGAGGCGGTGGCGGCGTACACAGAGGCCATCGCACTGGACGGTCAGAACCATGTGCTCTACAGCAACCGTTCGGCGGCGTTCGCCAAGGCCGGAAAGTTCCAGGAGGCTCTGGAGGATGCGGAGAAGACCATCCAGCTGAATCCCACCTGGCCGAAGGGTTACTCCCGCAAAGGGGCCGCCGCTGCAGGCCTGCACGACTACATGAAGGCCTTCGAGGCGTACAACGAGGGTAAGTCTCTAGGCTATTACCATGAATCACCCCGACCTAACCTCACTTTGGTTACCCACACAGGTCTCAAGTACGACCCCACGAACGCCATACTCCTGCAGGGTCGCACGGACATCACTGCCTCGGCCCTGAACTTCATGCAATCGCACGGTGATATCCCTATGGACGTAGATCCCCAGCAGACGCGCAGCCGGCGGGCTCCGTCGCCGCCGCCATCGAAGCCCGCTGAGCCCCAGAAGCCCGCCGAACCGCGGGTGGAGGACATGACCGAGGAGCAGAAGAAGAAGTACTTTGCCAAGAAGGAGAAGGAACTGGGCAACGCCGCCTACAAGAAGAAGGAGTTCGAAACGGCCCTGAAACACTACAACGCTGCCATCGAACACGATCCCACGGATATCACGTTCTACAACAACATAGCTGCCGTTTACTTCGAGCGCAAAGAGTACGAGGAGTGCATCAAGCAGTGCGAGAAGGGCATCGAGGTCGGTCGCGAGAGTCGCGCCGACTTCAAGCTGATAGCCAAGTCCTTTGCCCGCATCGGGAACACCTATCGCAAGATGGAAAACTACAAGCAAGCGAAGATTTACTATGAGAAGGCCATGTCCGAGCATCGCACGCCTGAGATCAAGACCTCGCTGAGCGAGGTGGAGGCGAAGATCAAGGAGGAGGAGCGAACGGCCTACATCAATCCGGAGAAGGCTGAAGAGGAGAAGGAGCAGGGCAACCACTTCTTCAAGAAGGGCGACTACAGCAACGCCGTTAAACACTATACCGAGGCCATCAAGCGCAACCCGGATGACCCCAAGCTGTACAGCAACCGCGCCGCCTGCTACACTAAGCTGGCCGCCTTCGATCTGGGCCTCAAGGACTGCGACACTTGTATCAAGCTGGACGAAAAGTTCATCAAGGGCTACATCCGCAAGGGCAAGATCTTGCAGGGCATGCAGCAGCAGTCCAAGGCCCAGGCCGCCTACCAAAAGGCCCTTGAGCTAGACCCCAACAACGCGGAGGCCGTCGAGGGCTACCGCCAGTGCTCGATGAACTTCCAGCGCAATCCGCAGGAGGTGCTCAAAAACGCCATGTCCGATCCGGAAATTCAGCAGATCCTCAAGGACCCGGCCATGCGCATGATTTTGGAGCAGATGCAGAACGATCCCAATGCAGTCAAAGAGTAAGTACCCCTATGTGGAGTTATTTGTGGAACACAAGTACCCCATACATGTTTTGAAGTTGCCTGTTTCTGGGGGTCAAGGTCTAGAACTTTCGGTTTCCACGGCGAGCTGGCCTATTCGAATTCAATTAGCATTTATTACTAGCTTCGGGGCCTTGTGAATTACATAAGAGTTTTAAACTAGGCAGGTGAATTCAGAAACGACAATGCAATTAATGTTGTACCTTAAAAATGTACTTACTTATTTATTTGCATTATTCGCCATCAAAAAACACAATATTTTTTTAAATTCCGAGGGCTTGGGTTAAACGATTAGAATATCTTTATAATTTAATGATCATATATAATTGCCTGATATTTATAGACTAAAAAGGTAGGCTGTCAGAAAATAACTCTTTATCAATGTCAGAATTATAGGAAGTCGTATCACTTTATTATTAAGTTATTTGGACAGAACCCAGAAACCCTGCAGATTTCGATTTCACCCCCTACCTACTTCGGGTACAAAAGTGTTTTGAACTCGCTTTTAATTAACAACCTTTATTTTGCAGACACTTGCAGAATCCAGCCATCGCCGATAAGATAATGAAACTGCTGGAATCGGGCATTATTCAGATACACTAGGCACTCCACCCCAAAAAAAGAACACACTCCCTCACACTCACCAACTCACACACAAACCATATTGATAAACATTCAGGAGACAAACCCCCAACAATACGCATTATACAAAATTTATGGCACCTCTAAGCTGGTTAACTAATGTATCGTTTTTGATGAAACGGGCCACAATTAATGCTAAACGTAATTACCTTAGAAATCGCAACGCCTAAACGCAGAACGACGATAAACTACCACTAACTAAAGAAATTAAAACTAAAAGGAGAAAACAAAATCATTGATAAATGTCTGCCTAGTTGATTTACGCAGATGGAAGGAGTAGGCTCCAAACGTCAAGGTTCTTATTTTCTTACTACAATAAATATGCTGTAGCTTAGCTCTAAAATAAGTTTTTGAATGTAAAATAAATGAGTCAAAGAATGGTAGGTCTTGACTTTGAATTTCCCGCCATAGTGTTGAAAAGTGGGTGTATGAAGTGTTGAGCACTGCAGCCGGTTTTGATCTTACG